GAAAATGGGACGCTGGACCCGGTTTCCAGCATTGGCAATGTACTGTCTGTCTCAGCATGTCTGATAGTTCTAAATACAAAGAGGCACCAGATTGGYTGTATGAACAGCATCAATATGGGACGCTGGACCCGGTTTCCAGCATTGGCAATGCACTGTCTATCCCAGCCGTTTCAGATAGTTTCAAATATAAAGAGGCACCAGAAGGAGAGTAGGTGGATGGCAGGGGCTGGGGTTGGAGGAGGCTCCACTGGTGCCCCCCAGTGGGTACCCCCCAATAGCCAAGCCTGCTGCAAGATAGGTCTAGTATAGTGGATTGAAGGGGAGGCTGGACCCCGTTACCAGCGCAAAGGCGTCTCCTTTACAACGTCCTGTGTATAAAGATGTATCTAAGGGACGTTGGACCCGGTTTCCAGCAGGTGTTGCTTCCCACCAATAGATGGAGCGGCCCGCCAGGCAAGCCTCAATCCCGGTGGTTCTCTTACCACCACCAGGATAGAGGCCTTGCATAAGGGCTTTTTCTCAAAAAAAAAAAAAAAAGGATGGCCTTCTCGGCCTGGGGGGTGGTTATTGCCTCCAGGGAACCCCCAATGGGGGACAACGGCCAGGGGACAGCCAGTAGCAGAGGGACCAAGCATCATCTGAGTGGCCAGTCGTCATGCCTCCCCAATTACCCCTTCCCCTTTGAACATCAGCAGAGACTGCCAATTGGGGGGACCAACGGGCTATCTCCAGGTGGTGGGCGCAAAGCATGCCCAGGTAGGTACGTAAGCCAAATGGGGATTGAACCCAGGATCGTCTGAATGGCACTTGGGTGCCTTACCAACTGTTTGGGATATTCGGACGGGGTCAATGCTTTTCCCTTTTTTTCTTTTTTTTTCTTTTTCGAGAAAGCTGGTGACTCCTACTAGGGGGGGTCATATGAGCAGCCTCCCCTAGTAACTGTCCCCTGTTGCTCCATCTATTGGTGGGGAGCTGCACCTGCTGGAAACCGGGTCCAGCGTCCCCTGTACATCGGTCAAGAAAATGGATAGAAGATATTCTGCCAGCAATGATTATCCCCGTTGCCCAGGGGAATTGACTGCGCAGTAGAGAAGAGTTGGACCCCACAGGAATGCGGAAAAAAAGAATGTTTCCGCGAAACTGTTTCTGAGACCCCACATGCAGCGCAGGACGTTCTGGCAAAACCGAAATGTCTTCCAAATACCGGTTTCCGAGACCCCACAACCCGCAAATAATGGCGTGGAAGAACGCTTTCCATCGTTTCCACATCGTCCGCGGTGTGGAAAAGTGGCTCCGGAGGACATCTCGCCGCAATTTTGTGTCGAAAGTTGAGACTGGGGGAGGGAGTGGGCGGGGTACTTTCCAAAGTCACGCCCACCGTTTGGACCAGCAAATGTCCGGCCCCTTGGCCTAGCCCGGTCGTGGAGCAGTGAGCAGGCAGGACATGCGTCGCACGTCGAAACCGGGCCCAGGGCTGTTGGTCCCTCGGAGCGGGGAAGGAAACGGGCGGTTGTGGCCCCGCCATTTTGAATTCGAATTCAAATTCGAACGGGGGTGCCCCGGGCGTTGTCGTCAGCAGTCCACGGACGCAGGGAACTTCCGCCACTGTGCACGTTCACGACGGCCATTTGCTATTGTACCCGACACGTGGCTTCTGCTGGTCTGTCGTGACGTAAAGTCGTGGATCAACAGTGCTGTCGTGCGCCTCCCATGAACGTAGTCCACCATCTCCATTGCCGCACTGTGCCATGGCCGTCGGTTGGCCGACGTGTGCATGGTCTCGCAGGTGACTTCATGCGTCGTGGGTTTGTGGCAGATGTGCAACCGCTGTGGGGACGTGGTCGGTGTGTTGGAGTACCGCTTCCCAAATCCATCTCCTCCATCCGACGAGCATTGTCCACCCACGTGCCCTCCCTTGGTGCTGTGGAAGTTGGGAGCGTTGTGCGTGCTGTTCGCCCGAACATTAGGAGTGTCGTCGGTAGAAGCTTCCTGCCCGAAGCGAACGACATCACGCATGCAGTTGAACGTTGTGGCGGTCGAGGGCGGATCGTCGAGAAAGGGCTGAGAGACCGGAACGTGGCTGTTGCGGGGACTGTTTATGCACGGCCGAACGCCGCACACCGGCCACTATCGACTGGCACGACTGCTGCACAAGATTGTGTTGTGGGTGATGGCAGGGCTTGTCCGTGTCGGTGCCTGCGAGATTCGACCGTCACGATGGTGATCGTCATCGACGTCAGCGACCGTGAGAGGGGGGGTGTTGGTTCGTGCATGTTCCTCTGGGGCTTGTTTATGATTGTGTTCGTGTTTGTTTTGTTCGCCATCATTGTTGTCCTCCGTTTGGGCGTTGTAGTGGTCGCTCTCCTCGCCACGCGTCGGTAGCGGTGTTGTTCAGTTGCAGAACCGGGTATCGAGGGAGACGTGCGAAAGCAATGGAACGACGTAGTTTCACTGATGATCTGTGCAGTGATTTGGGGGGGTCTTGCCAGTCCACTGATGCAGGGGGTGACGCGATTTTTGCGCACAACCACTCACGGAGTCAATGCAATCGGTGCCTTCATGGTCTTACGTGCCGCAGCCCGGTGTCCATAGAGGTTCGTTCAACGGTTATTGCCGGGAGAGATCTGCTCCGCAAGGCGGTAACAGCATGGCGCACGCGCCATTACATTCGCGAGGTTTCCAGGAAGGGCCAGCCATGGCTTGAGCCAACATTTGGGGTTCCCCTCCGGATCTTCCACGACAGTTGTCCCAGCCTCGGGCGGGGATGATGCCGCCCATCTCGCCAGTTCCTGTGGGTCGAACGACAGGAGGGGGCTGTTCCAACCACCCAACTCCGCATGGGATGAGTGATCAGCAGTCGGCGGAACTGTCTGCGATGGGGGGGGGGGGGAGNGGGGGGGGGGGGAGTGCTTCAAGGTGCGTCACCCGCAATCGATATGTTGTCGGTCGTTGGAGCTGCACAAGCGTCGAGAAACTCGGAAGTCCACCAGAGGAGAATGCCAGTTGACGTGCAGGCGAGCGGGGTGGACAGCAGTTCACCTGACCTTTTTTGCGCAACGGACAGCAGGGGATATCGACAGTGGCACGAAGAAGGCAGGAGCGACGCCAGAACTATGTTTCCGGGGAACACGGCCGGTGAGACAGGGGAGGTCGTTGTCGAGGGTACGGGGATGGGAAACCGTGGGGAGAGAGCGGAGAAGGATGACGATGATGGAACAACATCCATGGCGCCGGACAAGATTGATGAAGGAGTCGGTAATCGGACCAAACCGCGTCCCGCGGGTGGACGGAAAAGGAAGGGGGGCAGCTCACCACGACCGCCAAAGAAGAACAACCCCTGGTCTTTGGAAGAGAGATTGGACCTCGCGAAGTTCGCCGGTGAGGACGGCGCCCTGATGGCCGATGCCGAAGGTGCTCAGGCGTGCATGACGAGGTCGAAAAGATGGGAGCGAGTTGCAAGAAGGCTTGGAGACATAGGTTACTCTAGGACGGCGGAAGACTGCAAGAAGAAATGGGCGGAGATGGTGAAAAAGGTGAGGGAGATACGGGATGCATGCGAAGGGTCGGGGAAACAAGCATACTGGGACACCACGACAGAGCAACGGAGGAAGCTAGGGGTTAGCTTGACGTTCGAGCGGCAGTTGTGGGACGCTATGGAGTGGTATCGGTTGAAGAAGTCGGTGACGTGTGACGACACACTGGCTTCGGAAGATTTGAGAGGGGGCGGATCACCGAGCGACGGCGAGGCGGGTTCGGAGGGKGGKGRGACAGATGCTTCAGACACCGCCACCAAGACACGACGTACGTCAAGCAGGAAAGCCCGGGGGGGTGATTCGCCAATGTCGATGTACGGCATGGCATCGATGATGGAGGAGTCAATGATGGCGTTGTGTGAGGGTTTGGACAAGGCTGCCAGCACATTGGCTCATGGGTCGACGAATGGATCCAGGATGGTTGCCACAGAGAATGGGGCTGTCGCCGGCGCGATGCGGCAGGGCAATGCCGTTTTGGAAATGCTTGTCGGGGTTATGGCGGCGAGAGGAGCAGGGAGTGGTCGGGGAGAGGACAGCAGCCACGATACGGATCCCTCCACAAGGTAGTGACTGACCGTCGGCGGCGTGGCTTCCAATTCCGATCCACCTGCAGAAAGGAAGGGGGGGGGGGGAAATGGGGGAAAACTTTTTTTTCTTCAGAAAAAGAAAAGGCGCAGCGCACGAACAGGGGTGCTGCTGTGTGCCTGCTAAGCGTGATGTGCGCTATAAAAAGTCGTCATCCCTGTCGTTCTTACGGTGTGGGCGTATTCCATTGTGCTGCGTCTCTTATTGCGTTTGTCACCGGTTGCGGCGCGCTTGTGTGTGTGTGTGTGTGTGTGTGTGTGTGTGTGTGTGTGTGTGTGTG